CCTCCACAGCTCCACGGCCCATCCAGAGCATGTTCTAAGCAATGAGAACTTTTCTAGAGCTTTTGTTTTGATCACAACCCTAAGCTTTGCTTGGACCCTGTGAGAGTTTGTCAGGGCTCACTGGACCCTCAGCATCCAGGGAGCAGATAAGAGAAGGGGATAGGGGATTCCTGCTCCCAGGGAGAGACTCCTCAGAGTGGCTTAGCCTTCCTATCAAGGCCAGAAGGCCATCTCCTTTAACTGTGAACTGTGTTAACTCCTGGTTAGCAGCCAATTCCCCAAATAAACTGGAGTATTAATGAAACCAGGGTGGTCCTTGGATGTCATGCCATGGAGCAGGGAAGCGTTGAGGCCCCTCTTCCCTTGCAAAATATCACAAACCCTAACCCTAACATTGGGCTGAACTACCAATACCTCTATAAGGATTTCCAAAACCCTCTTAGGAATATTTTTCTGCACAGCTCCTCTTTCTCCCCTTCCTGAAAATGGTGATAGGCAGAAGGACCAAGCTCTGCAGAAAAACATCCCCAAAGGAGGGTATTTCAGAAACCCCTATTGAGGTATGGGTGGTTCAGCCCTATTTTGGGGTTGGGGTTGAAACAAAGCTTAGGGTTAGGGTTAAAAAAATGAAAGCTCCATTAAAGTTGTCAATGCTTGGAACATTTTCAGGAGGCAATTACCTCAATGATATGAGAAGAAAAACAGCCACCAAGTAGATATTTTGGAAATTGGTATGGAGGTATGGGAATTTCAACCCTTGATAGGGCTTGGGCTTGGGGTTCGGGTTAAAGCCCAGCATATGGTTAGCCTTGGAAAAACTGCAGTTCCCCTGCCCAACCATGGAAACAGGAAGGAGATACAGCCAACAGAAGGGACCACTGAGCAGAGAGAGTTCAAATGGGGACTGCCTGCTCCCTCCCAAGCTGGAGCCCCTGGTTAGGTGGCAGCAGAAGTGAGCAGAGCAATTGGATGTGAAGTGTGTAGAACAGAGGGGTCTCTGCTTTCACAGCACCCGTCCATAAGGGGTGGAACACAAGCACATTCATAAGGGGCATTTTGGGGAGTGAGCACTAGACTGGTGTCAACTAACTGCTTTGTGTATGCTCAGAAACATAGCTGGATGATTTCTATGTAGAAACAATAGAGTTTTGTCAAGAAACAGCTTGTATCTGGAGGCCTGCCTCATGACAGGTTCTCCAAAATGTCAACTTTGTGGATTTTTTTCTGCACAGTTCATTCTTTCTGTCCATCTTGAACATGTTTCAAGCCTTGATAACTTCACAGGGATCTTGATTTTTTGAACTCTAACCCTAATCTGGGCATTAACACCAACCTTAATAGGGGCCTGCAATACCCATGCCTCCATACGAATTTCCAAAATGCCCACTTTGTGGATTTTTTCTACAAAGCTCAGGTCATCAGCCCATCCTGAACAGGTTCCATGCCCCAACATCTTCACAAGGGCCTTAGTTTCTCTAACCCTAGCCATAAGCCTAGGCCTTAATCCTAACCCTAATAAACAACTGAAATACCCATGCCTCCATATGGATTTCCAAAATGCTTGCATTGTGGATGTTTTTCTGTGCAGCTCTTTTTCTCTGCCCATTCTGAAAACATCCCTGCCTTGGAAGAAACACAAGGAACACTTTTCTAACTTCCATGTTTGAAATAAATAATTAGCAACTTAAATTCCAGCTGATTCTTTTGCACCCTGCCAATTCCATTGTGCAAGCCACCCCCATTATTTACACAACCATGATTTCATACTTCCCGAATGGACAACCCAAGAGGCGTGAAAACTTTTTGTAAGGTGCGAATGAACAAAGTCTCAACACCTGACGGCCTTAGAAAAAGTAGTGTTTCCACCCCTTTCAGGGCCTACACCAGGACATGCTAATTCACCGTTGCTCAAGCAGCAGGCATCACTTGCATAAATGATTTGATGGGACTGGCTCCATGTGGAACAGATGTGATGGTGGGCTTTGCATGCAGAAGGGCAGGTTTGGATGAAAGTTACAGTCCTACACTTACTTGCCTAGTAGGCCTGTCTAGATGGCATAGTAAGTGTAACTCTCTTATTACTGCCAATAATGGCTCCTACTTCCATGAAAACTACAGCAGATCCTCCTCAAGTTACCTGTGAGAGAAAAGCAAAATTATGCATGCCTACTGAGAATCCATTTCCACTGAGGACTTATTTCCAAGTAAACATAGTGAGAATCACAGAGAAAATCAGTTATTAAATGGTAAAGGGGGTAATGACTATAGGAACTTGGGTAGGTTGTGTCATTTTTCCTCCATCATCTTGAAACAAGACATGTTTTAATTGATTACTCCACAGTGCATGGGTGAAAGACAAGGCTACTTCAATTAAGGATGCCAGTACCCACAGTCACTGACAGCAATTCAGTCATGACAGGGATTAACTTGGCCACTTATGTTCAGTTGCATTAGCAAGTCGTTCTGCAAAATTGTTTACTTTGTTTGTAAAGAAGTCCACAAAGTGACAAAATCATCAGTATTTGCATATTGCCTGTGATCCAGTGTGCTTTCCAGAAAGCTCATCCTATGACTCCAACACCCAAACCAAGTGTATATAATTGTTTGTGGCACGTACTGAAAAATTGAGCCAACAGTAAATTCAGCAATTAAATCAAATTTTAAATTCATGCTCTAAACTATGCCTTTGGACACGTTTTTAGCTGTGTGGTGAGAATTTTTCAGTAAGTAGTTTATAAAATTCAGTGCCCAGTACTGGTTCATCCTTGAATAGTAATTGTAAAGAAGGATAGCCTTAAGAAAACAGTTATTTTAATCTTAAACATTTATTTAGATGACTGATAGATTTACAATTCTAATCATGCCATTTCTAAACATTCCTGACACATCTAATGTAAAAATAACCAGGGGCTTTCACACCAGACCAGTTTGTTTTTGATATCGTAATCCTATGAGTTTATTTACAGAGTTTATATAGATTCCAATAACCAGGGTTCTCTGTATAGTTTACAGTAAAAATACTAAACTATTAAGTTAAACTGCTTTAGGGTTTATGAAATTGCAACATAAAACAAAAATAAAACTAACAACAGGAGATAACAGTAGTTGTTACAGTAGTAACAAAAGGAGATAACAGTAGTTTTGTGAGCTGCCCCGAGGCTTCTGCGAATGGGGCGGCATAGAAATTTTCTAAATAAATAAATAAATAGAGTTTTAAACAATACTATGGGCACAATCACATGTTCACACAGAAAATAAATTCTACAGGTCCTACCTAGCATGCCTCAAGCTACCTATAACAGCTGGTAAATGCTGGGAATTGTATTTTTTCTTTTCAAAAACATGCACAGAACAGAGACTGCAACCTATTCACACATGTACACAAACCCTATCTCCATTGGAGGTTGCTGTGGAACAAAATAAGTATAAATGACCATTTGTTCTACTGCCTCCATTCAGGCTGGGACCCTGCAAAGCAAAAGTGCTCCTAGATGCTAGCTCAGTGGTGGAAATGGGTTAGAGTGAAGTGGCAGGAAGCTTACCTCCATCTATGGCTGAATTCCCCCTGTGTGCAGAGGGGTGTGTTCCCTGTTGTTAGGGAATGGGCAAGGAAAGCTAGCATAGTGCAATATAGGGAAGCCACAGTATTCATATAGACAAAAGTGAAGAAAATAGTTCTCGTTTCAGCAAGCACTTGTTCTGTCTTACTTATCTCTAGAGGAGTGACAAACATGGCTTCCCCAATTGGTGGGGTGTGGGTTTATTTGTGCCCAGTATCACCAGGTGTGGTACCTGTATGGGTTCTGAGCAGAAAAGTATTGACAATGTGCCCAAGTTCTCCAGACAGTCTGGTATGACTGCATGTTCAAAGTGCCCTTTTCCCACTATTTCCTTCGCAAAAGTGTCCTCTTTGAGTGCATTAAGTGTGCATGATGTGACAAGAGAAAGATGTCATCTGAGTAGTCATCTCCAATATGGAGCTTATATACCAATTCTGCTGTACTGTCATAGGGTGCAAAGGTATTCCATATCCTATGCGTCAACACCAACATGAGTGTGGCTGGTTAAAGTGCTAAATTTGAGGTTCCTGTAAAGTTGTATTCTAGACAGAGATGTGCCTGTGGATTGAAAAGGAACACAATATGATATGGCATAAGTGGTTTTTCCCCATCTTTTTCTACTGTGATTTCTATCGAGGTGTGTATTATCCTATAAAAGCATTTAGACACAAGGCAAGGCATCGAGCTCTTTTCCCCACCAAGCAGGCAGCCAGCTTTCCATCAGCCCACAGAATAATTCTCTCCACCTTGAGATCTGGGTATGTCAGAGCAGCAAGGGCTCCACAGCGGGGCTCACCCTATCCTCCTGCTGTCCCGCAAAATGCATAAAATGGATCGAGAAGCAGAACGTGAGTTAAGTTGCTCCACACATGCCTTTTGCGCTATTTCCGTAGCTCTCACATTATCTGCAGAGCGTGATTTCTCAGTTTTTATTTTGACGGTCGGTTTGCATCTTTGAAAAGAAATGAGTCTTCTCACTAGGATAAGTTATCTCCGCGACGCAGGAGATAATCTCTCCATTTTGCCAAGGGAAGGAGAGAGCGAGACACCGAGGATCTTTATTTTCCCCTTCTTGAGTTCCGCTGCATACTTGGGCCATGCATCATTACACAGGGGAATAATGCAGCAAAAGCAGCTCAAAATAACTCCTAACTACATATAGAAGCCCAGAGTAAAAATCAAGATCTTAAATTCCCTTTCCATCGTGCATGGACAGCCAGAGTCAATCACTGCTCGCTGCTCAGAGCAGCGGCGGAGGGGAAGGACGGGGTGGGGGCGAGTGCTCGCTGCCGAAGGCTTAATAAGAGAGATACTGCAAAGGCCTAGCCTGTTTTTTCCCTTTAAGAAAAGGAAAGAAACAGCAACATAAGGATTTCCTGAAACAGAACGCTCTGGTACACATCTAATTATTATTTGGGTTGGAAAGCAAAAGCCACTTACTTGCCCAAAAGTGAAATATGACCTTAGCTAGCAATGGACAAGCAGCTAACAGCACAACACTTTGCAGAAACCACAGTTCTCCTGACAGGGCAATTTCCGGGCTTCTTTCACGGGAGCGTCGCCGGGAAAAGAAAAAAAGAAGGGAGGAGCCTCGCTCGCGGCTGTAAGGCTTTTTCTGATTGGTCGATTGACAGGCGAGCCGTGATTGGCTGGAGTCTTCCCCTTCTTTCTTGCCCAAAAATGCGCGGAGAAGGCACGGGAGGGCCGGGAAAAGCGCGCTGACCGGCATTGCTGGTCCCGCCACTTCCCAACAACCCTGGCGCTGATTTTGTCATCTGCTGCAAGTTCGCCAAGCTGCGCTTCAAAAGGGGGAGAGGGGAGGAAGATTACCATGACAGTATTAAGGGTTTATTTTATTTTTGCCAAGGTTTTGGCTGAGATGCTCGTCTTGCCGGCAAAGATCTTTCTCTCTCTCCCAAGAAACAAACCATGAAATAAAAGATTTTAAAGTAATAACGGAATCTGTGCTTCGGCTTTAACAGTCCCTCCCATCCCGCTGCCCAGACAGTCACCCAAAGAGCAACAGGATGCCCGCTTTGCGGAGGGATCGTGTTCAGAAAATCCACACGGGCAAAACGTTGCCTCACGCCCGCACACCTCACTGGGACGAAAACACGCGAAACATAGGCACCTAGACACCCCACACCAAAACAAAATGAGTTCTAGGCAAAACACAAAGGGATACAAAAATAGATAAAACGTTGCCTTGCTCACCTCGCTCCAGACACCCACCTGGCCTTGCCTGCTCTGTTTCAGGACGTGCTTCCAAAGGAAGCGCTGCTCTGTGGCAGGCCACTTTCCTCACCACAAGAATGCCTGTGCGGCCTGAATGGGGTCCAGAGGTATTCTTGGAAATAAGGAAGCGTGCAGGTGGTTTGTGTGCTGCAGGTATTACAGCTTCGGATATTTTTAGTTATTTTAATAAAATCTTTAAAAGTTATTAAATAGGAGACCGTTTATGTTGTCTTCACTACCATGCTGGAAGTGTGATTGTGCACTCTTGTACATATCCAGCAAGACTCACAATGAGCATGAGGCCAGTTACCTTCTAGCCTTCTGTCAGCCCTTTTTATCTGCCAGAGTTCACCAGAGAACTAAGGAGCATCTTGGGCTCCACAGCACCAGAGGGGATGCTCAAGAGCAATTGTGTCAATGATTCATGTCTCACCATCCACAGTGAGGCTAGAGCCTCACAGGATTGCTGGTTCTAGCTGCTGGTAATTCTCCCAGCACATTCAGGTTTCATGGGATCATCTTAACAGCCCCCTCTACTGCAGTAGGAGAAGACTGGTACTGTAAGCCCAGATTTCACTATGTAGCAGCCTAACCATGACAATGGAACAACTTCAGCACACACACAGCTTCTCATCCAAAGACTAGATCGAGATATGTTCTGCCCCTGTGCATTGACCTGATGATAAACTGAGACAGCCTCATAGTTGTAGAGGAGGCCGTGAAGTTCCATTCTGGCTGGTGTGAATGCTGAAGTCTCCCAGGACCAACATCTCTGCCACGCCACTCAAGGGCATGCAGTCAGAGAGACTGTTAGGCAATAAGGTGGGTGATATACCAACAACATCTCCCATCTGTCCTGGAACAGGCAGTCATAACCTGCCCCAGTCCAGAGAAGATTCATTGTGGGCAAGAAAGTACAGCAACTCCCACTACCACCACCACTGCCCCACTAACCTGGGTTGATGCTGAACCAAATAGCCAGGTTGGCAGAGATCAGTCCCACCCAAGTCATTCACCCAAGTTTTGGTGGTTTATGCTATTTTTGGCCCTATCAATCGCAGTTATTCACAGAGGAGTGGGGTTTGACTAGGAGCAGTTCTGACACCAAGCTGCAATAAGATGCCAATAAGAGGTGGCATCTTTAAAATATTCTCACTTGCAGAGAGGGATCAGTAACCATGTCATCAGTTATTGTAAATTAAGAGAAGAGTCAGCAGAGGTGAGGGCCTGCACCATCTATACCTTCTAGACTGCTGATTCCACATTCTCCCTGTTCCAAGGCTTCCCTAACTTGTAATCACCCCATAGAGGGTGCCTAATGTCCTCCACCCTTTCCCTTGCTAACCCACCCTACTAAACAATGCACACACATGTGTCTTAAAGACACGGATGTCCACCCCACACAACCTAGAAAGCAAAATAACATTGGTCCTGCGAATTCTGTACTCAGGGTCAACATAAGGATACAGTCTTAAGGACCTGACATATAATCTGTGGATTCACAGGCAGAAACTGAGCCACCATCTTGGCTGCTCTAGTTCTCACAAGGAAGGCAACATGCCAACACACATCCTTGGGCATTCCTTGCTTTTATGTGCAAGATCCCACACTAACAGCCTAGGTAAAAGTCAAAAAGAGGCAGTGGAACAGTGGCAGCCCCTTCAAAGCAGGGAGCCAGATGTATGCAGTTAGAAGCTACCATGGGTCTGTCACTGCATCTCCTATCCTGCCTGTCCCCTGGGCTGCGAGGCACAGGATGAGAGCCCTTTGGCCTCCATCAGGCCCAAGCTCTGGGGCTGCTGGTGTTATTCTGTGTGGCTTTTCCCTACTTGCTGTTTTGTGGTCATGATCATTGTGTGTATCAGGTATGGGCTGCTGCTCTGTCTTTGGTCACCATGTGCATCTGCCTCTGGTGACCAGTGTTCACCCCCACCAGCCCAAAGAGGCACCAGCCAGCTCTGGGTCATACCATGACACATAGCTGCCATGCATTAACTTCAATATTCTTTAAGCTGTACAATGGATCTTCATGATCTAAGCGGTGACTACGAACAAGCCCCTCTCTGACTCTCCTTCTCTTCATCATTCAAGTTATGCCTGATGAATGAAAGTACTTTGTTTTTCTTAATAAGTGAAAAGAAAGCCAACATCAGCAGTCATATAAATCAATGTTGCTCTAATTTGGCCTGCTGCCTATTTGACCACTAATGTCAGATAATTTAGTGGTTCTAAATAAGAGGTGGCATCTTTGAAATATTCTCCCTTGCAGAGTTAGACCTGATGTGACACTTGCTGCAGGAGAAACTCTTTGCATAAATCTGTCTTAAAAGGCTCACTTAATCATATTACTTCACTTACAGCAGTAGCCTTTGAAGGCCAAAGTCCCAACATGTTGAGGAATGGAGTAAAAGTCCATAAAGGTGATCATTGTATTAACTATTGCAGTACAGGGCCCCAGTCACATATGGAGACTTTGGACAGGTAAATCTATTAGTTATTTCCCTTTTGGAAGAGTGTGCGCTTTGCTTCCTGCATTGTCCTTATTTGATAGACTCTTCAAGTCATGACATAATTCCAAAATAAGACAAAGTGTGTGTGTGTGTGTGCGTGCGTGCACATGTGCATGTGTATGCATGAGCATGCATGTTGCAGTTGTCCTTAGACTTTGTCAGGGATCTGAGATGATTTTGAGGATATCTCTGCATCTTTGCTTGATCCAGAAACCACAGGCATGGGTAGTGAAGCAGAACCAAACAAAACATAGGGCCAATTCATATGTTGCATCCACATTCCTAAAATTAGTGCCAAGTTTGAGGAAGACTTGGATACATTGTCCTCTGCTTCCTCCCCAGGGCAATGAAGAAAACAGGACCTTTCCTTGATGCTTATGTGCCTGAGCATTGGCCTAAGCATTGCTGATTATCCCTACCTCCTTCAGCAACCTGCCTACCTTCCCATAAGCTTACCAGGACAGGAGGAGCATCCAGCACGGCACCATTGTGCAAAGCAGCTGAAGCAGGTGCAACCATCTTTTTTGTCCCAAAATGCCTCCAGGCTCCAACAAAGTGTACATTGGGTGCTATAGAAGCATTCTGGGATGCTACAGGTGACACTGTCTGTTGCTACTTCCCTTGGTACATCTTTGCAAAGTGATGGGCAGAAAAACATTTTTCACAAGGACAGTAAGAGGGAGGAGAGCATTTAATAGTCAATGGTGTCGGTCCTGCTGGTCCATGGTCATTGCTTTCACTCAGCTGTGATGGGCCTGCTCCTTTTCAAGGAAAGCGCATCTTGTTCCTTCTCTTACACCAGTTTGCTGAATGGAAACCATCATCTCTAGATGAGCCTTTCTGTTGAGATCTCATTTTAGTTTTTAGTCTGCTGTTATTGTTTTATGCCATTCCCACAATTTGCCAATTGATGTTGGTGTTGTTCTAAGTTTTGTTGTTCCTTGTATTTTTCAACCACCACTTCCATTCCCCACCCATAATACTTGTATTGCTCTTATGCCTGCTATTGTGTCTACAAATGATGTTGGAGGACCATCTAACTCACCAGTCTCACATCTGTGAGATTCCCAAAAGCATCTAGAAGTTGCACACTATTGCAACATAATGCTAAACTAGATAGATTAGGACTCTAGCTGGCAAAATCATTTTAACATTATGGTCAAATATGTTGTTTTCATAATATTGTCAACTTTCATGTGCAGTCATGGACATCTGTGCAGTGTGACAATAAGTCTTATTGCATTGTACTGCTTAGTTCATGTGTCTTTGATTCTTCATACACTATTAAATATACCCATAACAAAATGGAACATTTCCTCTTTTTATCATTATCTAATCTTAGGCAGAATAAATATCTAGCCCTTTCCCCCTTTTCCTGGCAGCAAATGGTTTCTAGTATCTCTACATTAACTGATTTTGTGGGTGCAGTATCTAGGATACAAACCAGAAGGTGCTTCTCCTTGGGAACTTGTGTTCTGACAGGGTCTGGTTTGTGTATTTCTACAAAAAGTTGGCACTTCCCTCTGTTTCTGATGTATTCATTATCACAAAACATTCACCCAGTTTTGGTACCCTAGAGTTATAAGAAAAACAGAAGTATGTCTTCTGTTATCAGATACCAGTGGAGAATGTCTGACAGGATTTCAGTAAATGTCTGTTTACTTTAAATGATTCCTTCCTTCTCCCTGTCCTCAACCCCTTCAGTGATTGGAAGGTTAGTTGGGAAGCATTCAGAATTTACAATGAACACTAACTTTTACTGTGCTCATTGATTGGAAAATATATAGTAAAT